GGTTTTTACACCACACTGCTGGCTTTGGTCCGAACCAGTTGAAACGAACCAAAATGCAGTCATGTGACAAAATCCACATCTCTCATTGGCCAGATGTTGTTGAACGTATTTCCTAAACTGCTTATTGATTGGTCAGAATTCACGTGCGGGAAAATGCCAGTGAACTCCTGCAGGTAAACAAAACCTTTTACTCTGGAGGGTTGACTGCGCTGACTGACTGTATCTCTGCTTTAGACAAACTATACATTTCGAGAATAAAGCGCGGCCGCGGCTGGAAAAAGTGTTTAATGCATCACTCGTCACTTCCGGAGGAGACGTGAATTAATTTAGCTAAACTGCAACATGTTCATCTTGCGGAAATATTACCCATGATCCATCAACTCATGCTTTCCCCTCTCTCTCTGTTGGTAAAGCGCTGTTAACAAATATTTCTCCTCCATATCCCATAATGCAGGGGTTGCCAAACTTTTCAGCCCGCGACCCCCAAAATGACAATGCCAGTGACTCGTGACCCCCAATATTCTCTGAGGTGGTGGTTATAAATACAGAAACCTTGTATGCAATGACACACACACACCAATAGACCCAAGTCTATTTATATATGTCAGTGCTGTAAATGGGCTAGAAAGTTTAACCTGCTGTTATAAAATCAATCTGCTGCATCTGACAGTATTGCTGTGCCTTTAGTATAACGTAATTACCTGAGAAGTCGCAATCCAATAGAACTATTAACTATAAGCTACTATAGTAACTATATAGTTTATCGTAACTATAAACGACTATTTTTTTCTCTTAAGTAGGTTATTGATAAAATACAGTAAGTCTTAAGGTTTAATAAAAATGTATTGATTTTTGAAAATCACCAGGCGACCCCCCCTTCATTGTCCCGCGACCCCTCGGGGGTCCCGACCTCCACTTTGAGAAACTCTGCCATAATGCACAGCGCATCGGCCTACGGCAGCTGGATTAGTCCAAAAGGCGCAGCACTTTTTGTGGTTGGGCCTGTTTTAGTACGGATCATATTCCCACCACAAACGAACCGCTCCAGGGTTCATTTGAAAGCAAACAGAGTCCACCTCTTCAAGCAGGTCTCGGTACGCTTATTTGGTCCGCTTTTAGTGCGCACTCGAGTACGATTGCTTGGAAACAAACTCTAGTGCGATTCAATCGAACTAAATAAGGCAGGTGTGAAAGCACCCTAAAGTGCACTTATTATTTTTATTTATTATTTTGTTTGTTTTCAGTGTGAACGCACTAACTTGCACTATTTATACCACAAAATGGTGTAGAATAGTGCATAGGGATGCGATTTGGGACGCAGCCTAAGAATTGAACTGAAAACAAACAGGAAGTGCATTTTCAGATTTCAATAAAATATTATGAGGACAAACTATTGATTTGTTCTTAATGATTTGCACAGATTAATTGTTCAGCACAAAACTAGCACTGTGAGACACGACATCAATATGGTTAGATTGGACTTCATTATAGTCAGAATCAAAACAATTGTAAACTGATCTTCAACAGCAATCAGCAAACGTGTCGCGTCTTCAACTTGAGCATTAGAAAACTTGACAAAATCATCAGCAGGTTTAGTTTTAATGCCTTTAAATCCCAGCGCTTCTTAAAGCAGCTCCACCCGGGGAGTCTCCATCTGTCAAAGGCTGAGATTGAGCATTTATTGTGTGGTGAATCACAGACGCTCTCTGTTATTATCAGCACATGCATTCAGCTCTCTATAGGCTTTACAACTGACCGCAGATCATTCCAGGACCACCGCGACTTAAAAACAGACCTTTTATTTGTGTGTGTGAGGATGCATGTGCTTTAGATCTGGATTTAGTGTTGTTGTATTTATATACAGTGACCACAAGGGAATAAAAACAGACTTATGCACAGCTGAAGTCAAAATTTCCTTTGTGAGTATTCCCCAAATGATGTTGAACAGATTGAGGAATTTCTCACAGTATTTCCTCTAGTATTTGTTTGGTAACACTTTACAATAAGGTTCATTAGTTAATGCATTTACTAACATGAACTAATCATGAACAACACTTGTTCAGCATTTATTAATCATATTTGAGCATTTACTAATGCATTATTTAAATCCAAGTGCATGCTTGTTGACATTAGTAAATGCACCATGAGTTAACATGAACTCACAATGAACTACTGTATTTTCATTAACTAACGTTAACTAACATGAACAAATACTGTAGTAAATGTGTTGTTCATTGTTTGTTCATGTTAGTAAATGCATTAATTAACATTAACTAATGAACCTTATTGTAAAGTATGACCGTTTGTTCTTCTGGAGAAAGTCTTATTTGTTTCATTTGGGCTAGAATAAAAGCAGTTTTTAATTGTTTTAAAGTCATTTTAAGGTCAATATTATTCTCCCCTTCAGCAATATTAGTGTTGGATTGTCTCCAGAACAAACCACTGTTATACAATGACTTGCCTAATTACCCTAACTTTACCCTAATTACCCTAGTGAAGCCTTTAAAAGTCACTTTAAGCTGAACACTAGTGTCTTGATTAACATCTAGTCAGATATTATGTGCTGTCATCATGACAAAGAGAAAATAAATCAGTTATTAGATATTCACAAGACAACAAATATCAATAATAACTTACAACACAGGGCTGTAGCTAGCCTGGTGGACCCTTTTGCAGTTATTAGCCTCATTTTCTATTTAACTATTAGGTTTAAATACTTTAAGCACTATTATTTTGCAGGATTGGCTTGTCAGATGGTCATCAACCACACTTTTTGAGGTACCAAAAACATTTACTAAAGATTTAGGAAAAAAAAAAAAAAAGAGAATAATACTTATTTTTCAAATGCAGATTTATTACACCATTTATCATCAGAAAAAGGATGCTGTTACCAGCCTATAGTAATTTATTAGGCCATCATAAACTGGTCAGCTTATTCAACTTTCTTCAGTCACGCTAAAACAACAGCCAAAAGAGGATTCCATCTTAGAGCCTTCTCCGATGGTGGTTTTCACAATTAATTATGACATGGCAGTCAAAATAGCAGAAATGAGCCTTGTTTTTTTTTTTTTTTATTCAACTCAACTCACTTTATTTCTATAGCACTTTCACAAATCACAATGGATTACCAAAGTGCTGTACATAAAATCAAATAAAAAAGCATGTAAAATATACATAAAACCAAAATACATAAACTCATATCACATGATTAAAAGCTAAAGAAAATAAGTGTGTTTTCAGTGACCTCTGAAACGACTCGAAAGTTTGAGCTGTTCTTACAAAGAGTGGGAGATTGTTTCAGAGTCTTGGAGCTGCTACTGAGAAAGCTCTATCCCCTCGACATTTTAAGCGTGATCTAGGAACTTGCAAATAGAGACGATCCATAGAGTGAAGAGATCTCACAGGTTGGTGCATAATAATTAGCTCAGAGATTTACTCAGGGGCCAGGCCGTGGAGGGATTTAAAAACATACAACAGAACTTTGTACTGAATTCTAAACTGGATTGGCAGCCAGTGTAGGGAAACAAGTACAGGTGTAATGTGCTCTCGTTTTTTTGTGCCTGTTAAAAGCCTGGCAGCTGCGTTCTGGACCAGCTGCAGTCGCGAGAGAGAGGCTTGACTCACACCCAGATACAATGCGTTGCAATAGTCCAGACGAGAAGAAATAAAAGCATGCACAACTTTCTCCAAATCACTGAAAGAGAGGATAGGCTTTAGCTTGGCAATATATCTAAAATAGAAAAAACTATTTTTGACAACCGCATTAATTTCCCGATCAAATTTTAGCTCAGAGTCAAAGATGACACCAAGACTCTTTACTGAGGACTTTACTCTTTACTTTTATTGCATAATTGTCAGGAACAATTATACAACACAATACAAAATATGAAACACGCAAAAAAAAAAAAAAATACAACAATGGTAAGTCAACAAAAAACAAAAATAAATCAAAATAAATGAAATTACACAAAGTCTAGTGTACAGCATTTATACATCCAATGATATTAGTAATTGACAGGGGATGCAAAAAAAGTGTGATAATAATTGATGCATTTCTCATATTCTTTGTTTTTCAACAATTTTACTGTAGAAATAATTTCAAACTCTAAACTAATTTTTTCTAAACTGATTTAGAAAATTTCTGTTTGTGTATATAAAACTGCCAATAAAATAAAGAGATTAACAATATATTCAAGACATTTGTTGGATTTGTTTTCTTAATAAAAATAATATCTTTGAATGTAAAATAATAACTAAGTTTTGTCCTTTTAAAAATATATTTGGCTAGATCTTTCCAGAAATTCTTTACAATGCTGCATTCAAAAAAACAGATGGCAAAGGCTTTCCTAATCCACATTGCAGAAACCACAGAAATCCTCCATTTCAATGCACTTTAATGAAAACGATTTTACTGGGTAAATTGTATGTAATATTTTAAAATGCATTTCCTTAACTTTATTATTAATAGAATATTTGAAGGGATTTAACTATAATAGAGTTCCAGAAAAAAAATTGCCTCTAGGAGTAATTTTATTTTGCTTCTGAAAAATATTACGAATATGTTTGTTAGTGCATTTTTTATCAGTCAACTCAACACCTTCTAAATAGTTTTGGGTTTACAGCAGATAGAGGATTATAGCAAATATGATTTTTAGCGAGTTTAATAATTTTTACAGGGATAGATTTAATAATTGAATTAAATTCTCTAATCAATATTGGGAGGAATGAGCTTGTGTATGGGACAAATTATGGACCTATGTCTACTTTCGAACCTCTTTCGAACCACCCGAACCCCCAGAGACTTGTTTACAAAAGCCTTAATTAAACGGGGGATATTTTAAATCCCTGCATTTGTGGATGGCATGCGTAGTAATATAAATGACAATATAAAATTTTGCATAATTTTCATCTCTCGCCTAAGCATGTGCGTCATTACGCTCGGTGCGTCGTCCAGTGACGTAATTTTGAATCGTCCCGCCCCCGCTTTTGAGCTCCAGAGAGGCGGATAGAAGAGCTCCGCTTAGCCGCTGACAGACGCTCCACTGCCGGCCACAGACTCTACCGCGCCGCCTACGGTAAGCTCCAGCCTCTGGGCTGATTTCTTACCATTATAAACGCATTTGAGTGTTTTAGTTCGTTTAGATTATCGCGTAAATGTATGACTGAATGTTCGGGATGACATAAATCTGTGTGTTTATGTTCGCTTCAGTGGCGTTTGTGTAGAAAGGACGCAACATCTGTGCGTAACACATTATACATCCAAATAACGCTATAATTCAGTATATTAACGCAGCGAACGCTTAATGTTAGCAATGTTTTATAGTCATATTTGATCTTAAACACTGATTTCTGCGCTGACAAACACAAGACGCGTCGGATAATACTACACATTCGCTGACAGATGCCAAGCTTGAGGTTTTAATGTAGATATTTTATTAATATTCTTTAATAAATATTTATAATATACTAGTATTCAGCTTAAAGTGAAATTTAAAGACATAACTGTGTTAATTAAGCAAGACATTGGACAAGAGTGATTTATAGCCAATGAATAAATAAATAAGGGGGCTAATAATATTGACCACAGCAGTTTTTACAATAAGAAAATAATAAAATATATATAAATAATTATTTTATTAAAATGTGAATTATATTTTTGGCATTTGTTTATCGCGTTTTGATTTGTGGAGCAAATTGACACTTAATTAACATTACCATAGCTAAGTCCACACTACGTTAATGTTGTATTGTTCTGTGTAAAATTTATATTCATTATATAAGTTTATACCTCGTGGCAGCTGAGCGCTTGATACTGATTGGCTGATGAGAATTCTCAGGTGTGCCATTATTTTCTGATTAAAGCACAGATAAAGTAGTTCTGGCAGGTTTTGATCATTAACCGTTTCTATATGTATAGACCGTTTTGAGGTATGTAAACAAAAACAATGGAATCAACGTATTTCCTATTTTACATTTTTAATTTCTGTTGACCGTATTCTTTAATGCAGAAGTGCGCTTGTTTTGGTCATTGCTAGGCCCACATGGAATCTGCGCGTGCAGATTTTTAGCCCATCATTAATTCTCTATATTTACTTGAGTAAATGTATAAATCTGAATTTATTCAGTTTTTATTCAGTAATTTATTACGTTTTATTTCATTTATTAAGGTTTTAGTTATGATACTCCACTGGATACTCCCAAAATAATTCCGCAGAAATCCGCAGATTTTTACCAAAATTCTCAGCAGAAATAGCAAAAAACTTTCGCAGATTCCGTCTGGCCCTGGTGATTGCTTTACCTTCCAGTTCAGCTGTGGAAGAAATGACTAGGAATAGTAAACCGCAGAAAACAGTCAAAGTACCTGCTCTACAGAATAATATTATAATATAATGTATTATATAGTAATTAATAATATATTAAGCAGAACTATATAATAAGAAAATGTCAGTTTGCAACATCAAGCAGCATTACAAGCTGTTTAACATCTAAAAATGTATGGAACTGAATGAGAGCGGAAGTCTCCAGCCAAAAAGATTCAAATGGCTGCGCCTGCTCATTCCCGGTGAATAGCTCTAAAGAAGCCAAAAAGAGCCACACATTGATAAATAATGTTATGATCGCTGTTTTCACATTAGGTTATGATTAAATTGCCTCTTGTTACGGTTATGAAATAGTTCGATAAGCAGCAGGAAATATATACACACAGTTAAAGTCAGAATTATTAGCCCCCCTTTATTTTTATATTCTTTTTTTAAATATTTCCCAAGTGATGTCTAACAGAGCAAGGACATTTTCACAGTGTGTCTGATAATGTTTTTTCTTCTGGAGAAAGTCTTATTTGTTTTATTTCGGCTAGAATAAAAGCAGTTTTTAATTTTTTTAAACACCATTTTAAGCTCAATATTATTAGCCCCTTTAAGCTATATTTTTTTGATCATCATTATACAATAACTTGCCTAATTACCCTAACCTGCCTAGTTACCCTAATTACCCTAGTGAAGCCTTTACATGTCACTTTAAGCTGTATAGAAGTGTCTTGAAGAATATCTAGTCTAATATTATTTACTGTCATCATGACAAAGAGAAAATAAATCAGTTATTAGAGATGAGTTATTAACACTATTATGATTAGAAATGTGTTAAACAAATCTGCTCTCCGTTAAACAGAAATTTGGGGAAAAATAAACAAGCGATCTAATAATTCCGGGAGTCTAATAATTCTGACTTCAACTCTATATATATATATATATATATATATATATATATATATATATATATATATATATATATATATATATATATATATATATATATATATATATATATATATATATATATATATAGAGTTGAAGTCAGAATTATTAGACTCCCGGAATTATTAGATCGCTTGTTTATTTTTCCCCAAATTTCTGTTTAACGGAGAGCAGATTTGTTTAACACATTTCTAATCATAATAGTGTTAATAACTCATCTCTAATAACTGATTTATTTTCTCTTTGTCATGATGACAGTAAATAATATTAGACTAGATATTCTTCAAGACACTTCTATACAGCTTAAAGTGACATTTAAAGGCTTCACTAGGGTAATTAGGTAACTAGGCAGGTTAGGGTAATTAGGCAAGTTATTGTATAATGATGGTTTGTTCTGTAGACTAACGAAAGAAAAATTAGCTTAAAGGGGCTAATAATATTGTCCCAAAAATGTTTTTTAAAAAATTAAAATCTGCTTTTATTCTAGCCGAAATAAAACAAATAAGACTTTCTCCAGAACAACAAATATTATCAGACATACTGTGAACATTTCATTGCTCTGTTAAAAATCATTTGGGAAATATTTAAAAAAAGAAAATAAAAATCAAAAGGAGGCGAATAATTCTGACTTCAACTGTATTTTGTAATTTCAAAGAGAAAACAAGAATATTTAGCTTGCCTTAAGCAGAAATGCACTTCACTTTGACTTATTATTTCCAAAAACAACACAATATCATTAGCTCATCTAAAAAGTGCTTCTTGATTTAGGAATCTTTAGATAGTTGGACTGGAGACGAGTAATGTTTTAACAGTGTGTACATGGTAAACAACAATTAGCTACTCAAGTCCTTGGAACTGTTGACTTAATATTTATAATTATGCACATAGTTCATTTACTTAACTTTAAGGCAAGTGGTCTACTCGGCTTTTAAAAATTTCAGCTGTATGCTGTAAAAGCAGTGGGTTTACTCTTTTTCATTTGTTTTATTTTTAAAGTGAAGTCAACTAGTCGCTTTTTACAGTGTCACTTGTAAAACGTCTCACTGATTAGCGAGCTGTTGTTCACCGTATAGTTTATTTACAATGTAAAGTTCTCCAGTTACAAAGCTGTCAAATAACTGAAGCATGGAATGTGAAAACACAGAGAGACTCTGCTCCTGCATTCCTGCAGGCGTCTGCAGAATGTGCCTGATTGTAAATCAATATTCTCTATTGATCTTGAAGACTTGAGGATGAGGACTTTGGAAAAATGTTCTCCAATTTGATGTACATCAGTTAAAGAGCTGTAAATTCATGGAGTAAAGAATGTCTGAGTGCTGATTGTAAGGCCTGTCGCAATAATCAATATATCCACTTATCACGCAATACATTTTTAGTGATGCAAAGTACAGTTTAAGTCTAAATTATTCGCCCTCCTGTTAAATTTCAATTGTTATTCCAATGTTTTTTCAAGTGTTTTAACTAATTTTTAAATATGATAGTTTCAATAGCTGATTTTCTTTATCTTTGCCATGATGACAGCACTTAATGTTTTACTACTTGTTTTGCAAGATACTAGTATTCAGCTTAAATTCAGCGTACATTTAAATGCTTAGCCAGGGTAAATAAGCAAGTCATTGGATAAGACTGCTTTATACTGTAGCCAATGAATACATAAATAAGGGGGCTTATTATTGACCACAGCAGTTTTTACATCAAGAAAATATTAAAAATGTATTGCAGCCAAAGTAAAAGGAAATCTAAATAACTTTGAGATTGAAAAGTTTTGAAAGTGTTTTGCAGGTATATAATCTATGTTTATTCGCTAGCATAACATGGTGTTAAAATGACAATCACTCATCACAGTTGTTTCTGTTTCATATTATAGATCATGAAAGTCCTAGTAATTGTTTATGAATCAGCGTTTAAAATCAGTGTAAAGCAAAAGTTGCAGAGACTTTTAGTTCAGTGTGTTGATGTACTTTCAATTAAAATGGAACATTGAGTAGGGGGCAGGGCTTTCATTTGCATAGCATTTGTAGCAAACTAACAGTAATAGGGGTGTGGCTAAGAATATGCAGATTACCAAAATAAACAATTATTTATTATTTATTTTTCCAGTAGATTAATTTGCTTACAGATTAATTGTTTACTTAAAGAATAACAATGTGCGCCAGCAAAATAAACATATTACATTTTGGTTTCACTTAACCACTACTTAAAGGGTGTCCTTAAAAAGTCCTAAAATATCTAAAATTGAAAAAAGTTTTAGGTCTTAAAGTCTTCAAATCACTCAAATATGGTGTTTTAGGTCTTAAATTAGTTTAAACAGGTCTTAATTGTTCATGTTAGGCTACGCAGTCAGGTCAACACCCATATAAACACCAATGAAACATCTCAAACATTTGGTGTTGATGTATTTAAGTTTTTTTATTGCAAAGAAATACAATCCACAACATCTTATAAACATTTTAACGGAAAAAAAATCTCCTAATTAACTATTTTAAATATGGATTAATAATCTTTCTTACAATAACATTTGTTTAATAGTTCTCCTTCATGTATCTGCTGAAGATACAGACCTGTACAGGCATAAATTTAGTTTATTATAGTTTTTAAAACTTGCAATTAAAAAATTAAACGTTGTGTTGAAAAGATTGCATGTGTACAACTTGAGTTTGCTTGTTGTGACACATTACCTAAAATAAATGCCTGAAATCACAGGTGCAAACAGCTCAATTGATTTGTTTTCATTAAATCACAAAAAGGTTCAAATTATGTGTGTAATTATCTAAAAAATATGTTACATATTAATAAATGTGGGGCGTCACAGTGGCGCAGTG